AAAGAAATTTTTTGTTAAATCAGATTACATCGTTTTGTTTCTTTTTCTTACTTTCATATTTCCATGCTTGCCAATATCTAATTGTGCAAAACTGCAAACATCTCCAACACCTTGTACATCTACAGTATAATTTCTTAAAAAATCGATAATTTGTAAAGATTTTCGACGTAATTGAAAACATAATATAATTGGTGTTATGAATGGACTAAGAAGTTCTTCAAGAAAATAAACCTATAATTATAAAAATAAGATAGAAAAAAATAAAAATTTATTCTTCGAAAATTTACATATTTTAATTGAAACATTTGTCCAAATTCAGCTTGAACATAATCTGTATGTGCATGATCTTTCCATGAATCAGGTTGATAATGAACTTGTGCAAGAACAAGTTGTAACATTTGTTCTGGATCAAATACAGCATTCTATTATATAGGGAAATAATGAATCTTTTTTTAATACATTAAAGTTTATTTTTACTTCATCTGGTATTAAAGATCGACAAATACCAAGTACAACTCCTAGACTAGTCATTAATGTTAACATATGTTCAACATTAAGAACATCTTCATCATAAATTGTTAATATAATTAAAACAGCTAATATAGCACCGGATGTAAAACTAACAAATCTAGACGATAAAAGTAAAATAATAATTAATTAAAAATAACAAACAAAATAATATTCGTACTTTGCTATTTCAACAATACTATAATTAACAAATGATGACATATAACTCATTGCTGGTTTATAACCACAATTTAAACGTTGATTTAATGAATGATCAAGTTCATTAAAATGACGTAAATAAAGTCGACCATAATTACTCCAACGACGGCTACCTAATACACCTGGTTCACGTCGAACAAGCTGAAAATTTAATTAAAAATAAGAAAAAATATTTCATTTGTAACATTGTTATGTTTGTTTACCTCAGTATAACCATAGAATAGATTTAATACTTGCCAAATGAATATAAATGGTGAAAGAAGAAGATTAGCAACACCATAGAGAAGAATAAAACGTGATAACCTAAAGAATTTCATATGTAAAGCAGTAATCAATAGATAAAACATACTGTCGAGCTAATGCTTCACGTTGACTATGAATTTTATATTCTTGTCGAAGATGCCATCGTTGATCGAATGGTGAATATGGACCCCCTATTGGAATATTTAAAATATTAGATAAGCACAAGATATCAAAATCATCTTTGGTCTTTTTATCAAATATATAAACATTGATGATAGGTACTATGGAGAAATTATAGATCATTTATTCAGTTGAGTGATAGGATAGGACAAGAAGACAGCTGCATGTCTCATACTTATTTCTGATTTGAATATTATTTAAATGAGAAAAATAATTTTTTCATACATGTGCGCCAAATGTCATATTCGATACAAGAGTCTATATTTTTACAAATCTTAATTCTTTCATAAGAAAGTTCTCAAATATAGATTCGGATTGTAAAAAATGGAAGATTTTAGAAAACGAAAAGCCGTTTCGGATGATCAAAACCTTACTCATATCTATCCAAACTTATTATAGTCAGTACAAAATAATTACTTACAAAAAAGAATTAAACGTAGATTAAATTTGAAACCACTTGTAAATGAAATTCTAGTTAAAAATTATATGTATAAATATATTAAATCATATCATGTAAGACTTACATATCACCAATGATAGGTAAATGTAATTTTGGTGGTAAAATTGCTTTGTTTACTAGTGCAACTTCATAATTTTTAAAGCGTAATAATCGATTATGAATATCTAATTCTGTTAAAGTTGATTTATGTATACATAAATGATGTGTTCGTTGTGCGATTAATAATCGCTGTTGTACTTCATGCCATGTCATATTTGGTAGATCGTTCTAAATATAAAATTCTAGTAATTATCTATTAATCGAGTTAATTATTTCAAACCGGTTTTATATCCAACGCTTGAGTATAAAACGCTCGAATATTGAAATAGGAAAGTAGATTATATAGTGCTCGACATAAGCGATAAAGCCAATAAATGATTGAAAGTATAAGACATAAGGATGTAATTAAATGCATACTAAAAAGATCAGAAATAATGTTTTTTTAGTAAAAATATAACAAATTACTGATGAAGACATTGTTTAGGTGATTGAATGACTTGATTTATTTGTATTTTATTTGTTATATTTCTTGCAAATGGTGTTGAACGAAATAGTAGTGGATAATCAACACATTGAACAATAAGAGTCGTAAATGAAACGATAAATATAAATTGTCTATAATTAAAAAGAAAAAAACGTTAATAAAAATAATCAATTTACAAGTTTTACATACATAAGGCCGAAAATTTCTGAAAGAACTATACAAAAAAATCCATGTTTTTGGTGATATTGATATATTCGTACAAAAAAATCGTCAAGATCTTTCTGATGACTCCATTTTGATTCTAAAATCAAAAAAACAACTAACATTAAAAATATTTCAAATTTATTTTTCCATACGTTTTTCATGGGTACTTTCATCTTGTGTTTCAAATTGCATATATGGAGATAATGTTTGATCTTGACCTTCAAATGTATCATTTTCTTCATTATTAACTGGTCGATATTCCATATTATTAAAAATCTAAAAGAGAAAAAATGGTACATTAATAAAAACAAAATAAGAGTTATGTAATGTCGATATTCTTTCTATTATTATTTATATGGTATTTTATTTTAAATAGAAACAAACGGTAAATTATTCAAGAAATGCTTCTCAACTATAGGAAAATGTGTTACAAATCGGATAAACTGACATTCATATGCTAAGACAACTCCTTCATTATGATAAAAAGAACGGACCGATTTTTATAAAAAAAAAATATCATTCGATTACAGCTATATTAATTGTGCATATGTATATGAATAACACAACGACATATAATATCAAATGATGTGAGAATAACTTAAAAAACTCTTTTACTTTCTTATCTATTCGCAACTAAAAGGAAAAATAATGGCGTACAATAAACTAAATAAAAGTTTAACCTTTGTTTAGATATGATTAGCATATTATTATTTTGCACTTAAAAGAAGGTAAATCTTCTAAAAAATTAAATTGGAAATTTCAATATCTGCTTCTTGCGTAACTTACCAACTTCAAAGATTTTTTTATCTCTGTTAAGATAAATAAATTCAAGCTAAAAACTCAGTCCAACTAAAAAATTAATCTGATGAAACAACCTCTGATAAAGAAATAGCTGTTCAAAAATTATTATACTACTAACCTATCAGTTTTTCAAAGTGTCACGAGTTGATATTACGAAAATATATCTGATATATGTATAGCTATGACTCATTCCCGAATTTCAATTTATTAAAAAAAATAATATTTTCTAAGACTATCTTCGTTAATTATTTCTCATTTCAAACTATTCTGGTATTTTATTCACTCTTGTCAAGGTTTTCACACCTAAACTCATAATTATGCAAGAACTTAATTAAATTGCGATGATAGTCTTTATCTCTTTATAATAAAACAGTGACACTTAATCATTTTGTTGAACCCTAAATTATACAATAAAATTACGAAAAAAAAATTTTTAAAACCTTTTTTTGAATAAAAAAAATATTCGCAAAGAAAATCTAAGATTAATTACCATTACACCAGCTGCCGATTAACTCAGATGACCCTCGATGCATACTATTGGTTAATTTCTAACCAATGAAAAATAACAAATCGAACCTCTTTAAATATTTTATATTTATTTAATTTTTACTATTTTAAAATCAACTTTCTATTTCATTGGTAGTCATTTTATCCATATATCTAAACTTGTCAATCAAGAAAATCAAAAAAAGAAGAAATTTTTTTTCATCGAACTTTACCCGACCTTTCCTTTAGCTATAATCGATACATCCTTCCTTTGAGCATTGCTATTGGCATCGGGTATCAAGAAAGAAAGTAATTATTGTGTTGATGGCAAATAAATTCAATCCTTATCAAAGTGTACCAATTAAATTAGTTATTGTCGGAGATGGTACTGTTGGTAAAACTTGTATGTTAATCTCATTTACAAGTAATACATTTCCTGAAGAATATATTCCAACAGTGTATAGATTATATAATTGATATTCTTGTTAACAAATTTTGTTTTTATCTTTATTCTAGTTTTGATAATTATACATCGAATATAATTGCTGATAATGTTAAAGTATCACTTGGTTTATGGGATACAGCTGGTCAAGAAGATTATGATCGATTACGACCATTATCATATCCTCAAACCGATGTCTTTGTACTTTGTTTCAGTGTAATTAGTCCAACATCATTTACAAATATAACAAATAAATGGATGCCAGAAATTCGACATCATTGTCCAGATAAACCAGTTATTTTATGTGGTTAGTAATAGTTTTATTATGAATATAAATACAAATGATTTGTTTAGGTACAAAAATTGATTTACGTGAAGATCGAGAATTTGTTAATCTATTACAAAAACAAAATCTTCAGCCAATTAAACGTGAACAAGGATTACGTTTATGTAAAAAAATTCGAGCTTTTAAATATGTTGAATGTTCAGCATTAACACAAAAAGGTCTTAAACAGGTTTGTTGAATATTAAGAAATATAATTGATTTTAATTTTTCGAAATTTATTTTAAGGTATTTGATGATGCTGTTCGTGCTGTACTATCACCTAAAACAACGAAAGTTTCCAAACCTTCATGTCTTTTATTTTAAATAGAAGATACGAGAATGTTAGAATCTCATTTTATACGTGTTTTTTTTATCTTCCAACTTTTTTTATGCAAAAAAAGATAATAATGTTCTCAAATAATGCATGGCTTTTGTTTTGTTATTATGAAATAAATTTTTTTTGGATATATATAAATAAGCGTATATACATCAGAAGCTGTACGCATTTACTTATGAAGAATATATTCAATAACATTAGCTTGCTTTTGTAGAAAAGATGATTGACGCTAATTGAAAATCCTTGTTCACTCGATCTAATGGACTTTATATCGAGAAACAGTTTTAGATCTATTATAATAATTACGAACGTAGATTTCATTTCTGATTTAGCTATCCAATGAATTAAGCCTCTAAGATTTTCTTGTCTTCTCATATAATCGATCATTATTTTGTTTAATATAACCGTATTCATCCTTATCATATATGATGATAATTACTTTTTTTTCTCTCAAGATGAAAACTGAATAAAATAAATGAGTTGTTGAACACGATTTACTTTTCGACATTTACAAGAGATGTTAATTCAAGAAATAGGGAACATTCTTTGGTATATTATTTGATCTTTAGACATGACAGAGTATACAAGAGAAACCCTTGAAATTTAAATTAAATGAGAACAAAAAAATGTGCAGAACTGTCAAACATAAATTTTCAAAAGGACTCAAACATGTACTTTCTTCACGAACAAGGCATATAATTGTATATATATAGAATAGAATAAATGCAATTTCGGTACATATTTCACCTAATCGAATACTCTGTTTTGTAGGCAAAAGTTTATTTGTAACAGTCTAGTCTTTGTAACCCGAGGGCACAGAATCGGAAACTCATACTTTTATTAAAATATTTTTCGAGTTATAATATTTGTTTAGATTTAAGGTCTCTATATTATCTTCTAATTTAATACAATATCATTGTTTTCTTAGGGCTATTATAATGAAGCAAGTTTGGAGAACATCGCTTCAAGATAGAGGTTTTTTTGACCTGTATAAATTATTGAATATGTTAATAAAGATAATTGTATAAACGAAGTTATAATGAATAAGATTCAAGATGACAAAGAACTTATGTTACTAACAGTTTCAAACACAACATATTTCAATATCAAATGGTAGTAGTCGAAATTTTAATTTTTTTGATGAGATATCGTTTCCAAAACAGAACAATATTTTTTATACTCTACTTCTCGGAATTGAGCATTTCATAAACGAACACTCTTTTTATTCTATTCACGAGCGTCATAATAGAAAAGGCTAAAAATTGAATAGATGAATATTCATTTCTTATTCTATTGCCTAACCTTTTTGTAATTTAATACTTCATAATTAAAAGAAAGTAGATATTAATTTATTATTCTTCTAATAGAATCTCATATATACTTTCATAATTGAATATTCAATGATGTGCATGACACTTGAGTAAAACCAGAGATTATTTGTAATGTATGACGTATAGAGAGTAAAAATATAACTGATGGAATCAAAAAAAAAGATTGTATATCTTTCTAATATACATATGACTCTACCATCGGAAACAAGATATGATTTCGTTCCAACAGCATCAATTCTAGCATTTATTTTTATTGGCATAATTTTTCTTATTGGCCTAATTGGACGATGTCTCGCTTTAAATCAATCAACAATTCGTAGTGCACAAAGTTTAGATTTAATGATTTATAGAATACCGCCAAGAGCAAATTCTTCAATGCAAAAAATACGTCCATCAATAGATATACAATCTGATTTAGCTGGTATTCCAATTACACCTACTCCAATTCAGCGAGGACCAAAAAATCTTTAAACTTAATAGCATATGTGTCTATTCTTTTAGTAAATAAAAATGCTTATTGTGTGTTCGTGTTTATTTTATAACAATGGTAATATTGTATATCACTTTATTTTAATGATACTTTCTTCTTACTAAAAATAACGATGCACTCAGCAAGAGCATATTTTTATTTAAGTTCTATTTTCGGCAGCTTAACGAAGATGTTTAACTCAATCGACTAATCTCTCTTGTGTTGATGAAGTTGCTTTATGTAAAAACTCGATCTGGAAGTGAGAAGATAGTAAAACGAACTTATAATCAGAATATACACATGGGTGAGTACAGACAAAAACATGTATAAGCTAAAATCTTGACTTTATTTTTCACAGAAAGAGCAAGTAAAGAATATACGTCAGACTCAGACAGAGGGAAGAAACTCATAGCTACTGTCAAATTAAAAAATGAAACTGTAATAAATATTATAATGTTTATTAAAAGAACTAATTTCTTTTCTTTCTCATAAATGCATTCTCAGCAAAAAAGGTTTCAATTCTTTAACCATACATAAATTTATTCATCCTAATAATTTATAATCTTTACGTAAGAAAAAATCCTCCTGACATTTATTTATTGCTATGAATACATGTCATCTTTACTGTCTAACTTATATCATTAAATGACAAAGTAATGACAAAAATAGTGCATACAATAACCAGTCTTATAAATTATAAAATGATTATTTAAAACAAATTCATTTCCTTTCTTACCTAAGGTCATCATTCTATCTGCTACTAATATCATAGTTTTATTATAATGTTTCAACGAATGTATCGAGCGGTAGAAATATAAAAACTATGATCATATTGTATTCAATTAGTTCTTGAGAGTATATGCATTCATATTCAATCTGCTATCTTGACATTTTATATTAACTCAAAAAAAAAGGACTTTTTTAGTGCTTTTTTATTTTTAATGGGAATTCTTTTACTTCTTTCTTCTAGTATATTATCTATGAATCCTTTTGCATTCTATTTGCCCTACAGACATAGTCATAGAAGATTAACTAATCTTTTCTGAGATAGATTTGTTTTTCTATTCTAGTTC